AGTGACGACGGCATCACGGGGACCAACCAAGGAACCATAGGCGTAACTACCACAGCGGTCGTAATGAGGCATCTGTTAATGGAAGTCTTGTTAAGTAGAATTGTACGGATGACCGATAACTGGCATCTGAAGCGTGCGGGTAGTTATGACAGGCGCGAGATACGGTCCGAGCGGTTAGACCGTTTTGGGGAAACAACACCGAGATCCGCACCGGCCGCGTTAGAATCGAGTTTGTTTCGGAGAACTCTGGTTTTTGACGAAGCGGAAGTAGGTCCGAACGTTATCCTTGAGCGAGAGTTTTCGTTCGACGTAGATAGTAGTATAGTAGAACGCCAACAAAACGTAAACGAATACGAGTCAGCTCACAAGCGCAAATGTTCATTACTATCGTATGAAAGCGAGTTATTCCGAGTGAACGAACAAAGCAATATAAATAACGAAACCTTGGGTTTAGCAGAAGACGTGCAAAGGATAGCGCGGGCACAAGAAAGTGTAGACCAAGAGATCACCAGGATGCGAAGCAAGTTAGTAGTAGGAAATACCGCGGGGGAAAATGCCGCGGGGGGAGGTACCACGGAACCGGGAACTTCGACGGCGGGTGGACAGGTTCTTAACCCCACCGAAATAATGCTGCGACAGTTGTTACGATCATTCAATTTAATGAACGCGCGAATGAACTCGGTAACGCGACATGTGAAGTAGTTACGGGAACAACGCCGTAATTCACGAGTAGTCGAGGATGAAGACTTGGTAGAACGCGGTGGTGCACTCGACGTGACTTACGGACGGACAGCCACCGACGTACGAAATCAGACCGCGCATATACACGGTTACATGACACTGAAAGAAGCGCGTGCCATGATACCGACGTTCGACGGGAGGTCACAAGCACAACTACGCGAGTTTCTTAGTGCATGTACATATGCGATGAAAAGTATTAATTTGGTCAAAGAAAGGACATTTTTAGAGGCCATACTGTGTACAAAGTTGTAGGGGCAAGCCTTTCTAGATTTTGAAACACGGGACGTAAATAATTTCGAGCAGCTAAAGCACGAGATGGAAACTACGTACTCCGCAAAAAAAGGCACAACCGAGCTACAGATAGAGTTTAGCTCGTTAAAACAAAAGCATGAGGAAAGCGCGCTAAATTATGGACAGCGAGGTAATCAGTTAGCCATGAAACTTTACGAGTTTATGATAGAAGGTAAATTACGGACCATGGAACAGAAACGCACAATTTTAGAAACCATAAAAGAACAAGCATTACATCACTATCCAATCGGGCTACGCGAGGATCTGAAAATAATACTACGATCACGCAAATATAGGACGTTGCAAGAAGCAATAGTTGGTGCAAGTGCGGAAGAAAAAGCCGCGGGTACAAGGCCAAGGAATCGTGCGCTATCACAAGTGCGTGGGCAAAAGAATTTCACTTGCTACAAGTGCGGGAAGATCGGTCATTATGGGAGAGAATGCCGATTTAGCAAATTGACGTTGCCAAAACCGGGCAATAGTCGGGTAAATGCAGTGGAAAAATATTGCAACTATTGCAGGAAAACGGGTCATATACGAGAAAACTGCTGGTCGCTGAACGGCAAGAAAGATAACAAAAATTACATCGCGAAGGGAGAGACAAAGAATGCAATACAGAAAGCAAAAAGCCGACGCGACAATAGCGCGTCGTCCAGTAACGACAAAGAAGGAGACAAAAGAAAAAAGAAAAGTGTGTCGGTAGCCGAGTTACAGGTGACCGAAATAAACGGCACACAAGCAGGATTAGACTTGGTGGTGGTACCGATGAGACAAGCAAGGAAAGATTATGTAAAAATGCTATATGACACCGGCGCTACCGTGTCACTGGTAAAAAAGAAGTATCTGCATGGAGAAACTCCGGCTGAGAAAACAAAGTTAGAGATAACAGGGGTTACCGAACACAAGGCGTGTGTTATCGGAAAAATTAAAGCCACTATACAGCTAAAGAATAAGAATATAAAACACACAGTATATATAATAAGAGACTTTCCAATAAGCTATCCAGGAATAATAAAAAGCGATTTTATTAAGAAATATAACGCGGTACACGACTATAAAAAAGAAAGGCTCGTGATAGGAAATAACTCGATGTTAATGCGTCCGTATAGGAGCGTCATGTTACAACCGTGCAGCGAAACAATAGTGCAAGCCGTGGCAGATTGTAATCAAGTCGGAATCGTGGAAGCCAGAGAGACACAGCCGGGCGTGTCTATTGGGTGTTGCCTAGTACAACTCGAAAAGAATTTATGCCCCGTCAGCGTATTAAATACCACTGATGATGTAGTAGAAATCGAAACGCCGCGAGTAGAAATAGAGGAGCTGGCGGAGGNAAGTGAAATAGAAGATGCTGTAATGAGTGTAAGCATGACAGAAGCAGAACTGACACGAAGTGAAAAGGTGAAGGATGCTTTACGCATGCAACATCTGAACAAGGAAGAAAAAGATGTTCTGATAAATTTATGCGAGGAATATAGCGACATTTTTTATTTGAGTGGGGAACCATTGAGCAAACTTGGTGCGGTAAAACAAGGAGTGCGTGTAAAAACTGATACAGCACCCATCAACGTGAAACCGTATTGCTTACCTGAAAAACATAAAAGGGAAGTAGAGTGACAAATACAAGAAATGCTAGGTAATCAAATAATCAGACGAAGCAAGAGCGAGTGGAACGCACCGCTCTTGGTTGTACCTAAGAAGATGGACGCCTCGGGTATCAGGAAACTCCGAATTATCGTCAATTTTAGGAGGTTATATAATGTTACTATCGGTGACGTATTTCCGTTACAAAATATCACAAAAATATTAGATTAACTGGGTAACGCGAAATATTTTTCAACACTGGATTTGGCATCGGGATATCATCAGATCCCGATGAAAGAAGAGGATAAAAGCAAAACGGCATTTTCAACACCTTATGGTCAGTACGAATGTAATAGGATGCCGTTTGGTTTAAAGAATGCACCCGCGACATTTCAAAGACTTATGAACGCGGTTCTAACAGGGTTGCAGGGAGTTAAATGTTTCGTCTACTTAGATGACATCGTGATTCACGGAGCAAGTCTGGAGGAACATGTAAAACGAGTAAAGAATGTGTTTAATAGATTGAGAGAAAATAATTTAAGGTTACAACCCGACAAGTGCGAGTTCTTTCGCAAAGAAGTTACGTATCTCGGGCACAAGATTACGGAAAACGGGATCTCACCGGATCCCGCAAAGGTGAGTGCAGTAAAAGATTTCCCCATTCCGAAAAAGGTTAAAGATGTACAGTCGTTCATCGGATTAGCCGGTTATTACCTAAAGTTCATCGATGGGTTTTCAAAAATCGTTAAGCTTTAAACCAAATTATTATGCAAGGGAGCAATGTATGTGTGGGGTCAAGAGCAGCAGTGTGCTTTTGAAACGTTAAAAAATAAGCTACGCGAGGCGCCACTGCTGGCGTACCCGGATGTTACAAAAGAGTTTGTTGTCAGTACGGACGCGTCAAGTTACGCTGTCGGCGCGGTGTTATCACAGGGAAAAATAGGACACGACAAACCGATTGCGTACGTAAGCAGGATATTAAATAAGGCAGAGCGCAATTATAGCACGACCGAAAAAGAATTATTAGCCATTGTATGGGCGGTTAAGCATTTTAGACCGTATTTATACGGAACAAAGTTTAAGATTGTTATGGACCATCGAGCATTAATATGGCTGTTTAACATAAAAGACCCGGGTTCACGACTTGTACGCTGGCGTTTAAAATTAGAAGAATATGAGTACGAAATAGTCTATAAGAAAGGGAAGGATAACACGACGCGTTGAGCCGGAGCCCGGTGAAGACGGCGAACGTGTGCGAAGCAGAGGAAAAGGAGAGCGCGATAACGGGAGCAAGCGAGACACGCGAGTTAACTGAGGAAGAAAAGAAATAGGTGCTATATGAATATCATGATACACCACTTGGAGCGCATCAAGGAGTAGCGCGCACGGTGAGGCGGATTCGTAGAAATTATGACTGGCTGGATTTGACACGAGATGTAGAAAATTATATCTCGAGGTGTGTGTCGTGTCAGAAAAACAAGTTGGTCAAAAGGTATAAAGCACCAATGTAGTTACAGACACGCCGTCAGAGCCGTTTGAAAAGTGTGCTCTGGATGTGGTCGGGCCTTTGCCTGTAACAAGCAGTGGGAATAAATATCTACTCACATTTCAGGATAACCTTACCAAGTTTAGTAAGGCAATACCTGTTTCGAATCAGGAGGCCGCGACAATCGCAAAAGAGTTCGTGACAAAGATAGTGTGCGAGTATGAAATACCACGTACGATTTTGACCGATAGGGGTACAAATTTGGTGAGTGAGTTATTCTAAAGTGTGTGCAAGCTGCTACGCATCAACAAAGTGCAAACCACGGCGTATCATCCGGAAAGCAACGGAGCTCTGAAGCGGTCTCATCAAACACTAGCCGAATATATTCGACATTATGTAAAGGAGGACCAGACCGATTGGGATGACTGGGTGCTGTACGCTATGTTTGCGTACAACACAACTCCGCATTCAGCCACTGGGTTCACGCCGTTCGAGCTGGTTTACGGACGTAGTGCGGAATTGCCTACAGCGATAACGAGACCGCTGTCCGTGCAATACGATTTAGGGAACTATGCTTAGGAGTTAAAAGTGCGTGTCAGAGCAGCAAATAGGATTGCAAAAGGAAATTTAAAAAAAGAAAAGGAGAAGGCAAAGCAGTATTATGATAAAAAAACAAAAACATCGANTTTTAAAATAGGAGATAAGGTGTTAGTTTATGACAAAACATTGCGTAGAGGTAGATCAAAGAAGTTAGAATCCATGTGGATAGGCCCGTATGAGATAGTAGCAAAAATATCAGAACTTACCTATACTATTAAAGCAAAGAGGCGCACGCAGAATGTGCATATAAATAGGCTGAAGGCCTTTATTGAAAATTAAGATTTATTTACCAAAGGGCGTTCTACTCCGAGTCAGATATGGTTATGACCGGAGGTGAGACACAAGGTGGGGGTCCTAGACACACCACCTCCGGATCTTGCGCTGGAGACCGGGTTTCGGGGGACGGCGGCTCTGGGTCCGGCAAAGCAGGTGACGGAGGTCGCGAGGTCACAAAGATTATCTCATCTGAAGAAGTGGAGGCGGTCCCCGGCGAAGCTGGCGGGTCGATGGGCGGTGGACCTTCGGGGGTACGAGGCGACACGTGCACTTTCGGGTCACTATCACCATTACCAGATACTGACAAGTTTCGCGGCGGACCGCGTGACCACGCGGTCACGGCGCAATAGTAACACGGGGGGCGCGTAGCGTTTTTACGATGTCGGCACGTGGACATGATACAGTGGAAGAGAGACGCAAACAGGGTGTATTGGTGGTTTACGGGACACTGACACTCGTTGTCGTGAGGAACCGTGCTCCGGTGTAGAGACAAAGGGAATAGCCGCGCAGTAACTCAAATAGAAATCCGAGAATTACACAGTTTGTCCGGAAAGTTCCCGGACTGATTTTTTCTAGCGCGGGTAAGCGGCGCTATCGAGCGGTCAACGCTGGAACTACTTAGTATAGAC